AATTTACATAGATTCAAATTCTTAGCTATGCATCAAAAGATAATCAAATAGTACACTGTCTGCAGTTCACGGTTTCAAATATCTAGGTATGTTGCTAGAACCCAATCTTTCTTTTGGCCTCCACATTGAAAAACGCTTATCAAAACTGTGTCCAAAACTTGGTGCCCTGTACAGAAACAAAATTGTAGTGTGCGCGCCTGAGCCGCAAACCCACCTTCATAAACTTACTATGTTGTAGAATTCATTCTGCCGCTTTGTGCTACAATGTAAATTACATGATCGCTGGAATCCAAATGCACCCTTCATCTTTCCAGCCTTGTGTTCAATAGCTTTTCTGGTAAGCTCCCATCCTACCTGAGTAGAATGCTCTCCTTGCCCATTCCCACCTTCTATCTTCTCAGATCCAGTACCAGCACTTTATTTAGTACACTGCATATACTCCTACAGAGTACCGCACAACCTCCCAGACACAATTAAATCTTCCTCCACACTAAATCATTTAAGAAAGTTTCCAACAGATCTCAACATAGATTGCACCTGTAACCATGGTTGATTATATTTCTTATCTATTCTGTCTTAAATATGTGTATTTCAAATATTACTTTGTAGTAATATTATATTGTGTATTTTAGTATTACTTTGTATTTTTATCCCCTTAAGGACGGCTGGCGTTCTATGCCATCCTTTTTGGGGTGCTCCTAAATGCAGAAGGGTGGCATAGAACGTCCCCGCCGATCCCATGCCGGTGGTCACGATTCTGGGGTCTGCCTGGGAGCTCAGACAAACCCCGTCTGCCCGATCCAGCCCTCCCAGGCCATGTGATCGGGGGGTCCTCGCAATCACATGGCCGGCTTGTGCAGTACATACACATACACATATACATATAATATATATATATATATACATATAATATATATATATATATATATATATATATATATATATATATATATATATATATATATATACACACACACACACACACACATATATATATATATACATACACACACACACACACACACACACACACACACACACACTCTCTCTCTCTCTGAGGACTTAACAAGTGAAAAAGGGGGATTTATTCCAGTAGGTAGAACATAAAAAATGAACCGACGTTTCGACCCATTCGGGTCTTTCTCAAGGTTTTTTTTCCCCCACTTGTTAAGTCCTCAGAGTGCATCTCTTTATTTTTGTTTATATATTTCCTCAACGTGGGATTGCACCTAGGCAAAAAATTGGATGATTTGTATGAAAGGGTGAGTGCCAAGAATTATCTTTTTGTGTGTATGTATGTATACACACACATTATATATACACACACATACATACACACACACACAGGGCTTTTATGTAGATAAATAAGGATTTATTCCATGAAGTTATTTACATCAAAAAATTACCTGTTTTTCACTGTTAGATTGTATGCACGATATCACATCACCTATTATAGACATTTGTTCACTGGCACTGCACTACTGACCCAATACAATTCAGCTAGTTGAGGGCATGGGGCTCTAACTATTCCCTTTTCAAAAGACTTATTCACGTTTCTTTTCTAATTATACTGATCATGTAATTACTTTTGTTTATCGGTATCCTAGTAACTATTCATACGTCAGCATGTTTACATTACTTCCGGGTAGACACGGAAGGAATCAGGGGTTTCTTCACTACTGGTGAGTACACATTTAATATATATATTTATTTTTTGGGGGGTCGAAACATTGGTCATTTTTTTATGTAAATACCTTCACGGAATAAATCCTTATTTATCTACATAAAAGCCCTGTGAGTTCGCGCGCGTGCACACACACACACATATATTACTGTGACTACTTTGGAGAGTGAGGAGAGCGCGCATATATATATATATATATATATATATATATATATATATATATATATATATATATATATATATATATATATATATATATATATATATATATATCTATCTCTAAGTACTTTTATAAGTACTAAGTACTTTTATATACACAATCCATTATTCTAATGGTATTTTAATATTAATTATATAAAATATTAAAAACACATTTAGAATGACGTGTATATATATATATATATATATATATATATATATATATATATATATATATATATATATATATATTTTTATTTTTTTTTATTTTTTTATTTTTTTTAAATAAATAAATATACTACAATTAAACAAAAAAAAAATTATATACACTGGTTTAAATTTGTTCTAAATGTATTTTGATAATATACATATATATTTAAATTAAAAGACATTTAGAATGAAGCTATAAATAATTTAATTAAAAAAAATATATAAATTTTACGTAATTAAGTCATTTTAGTAATTACATTTTGAGGGACCTGCCTGGCAGAAAGTCCAGAGAATTTAGTTTGCAAGCCCTATATGTAACACTGTATCTTTCCAGGACACCATAAAACCTGTACATGGGCAGGGGGTAGCGGGGGGTACTGTGTTACTCGGGAGACTTTGCTGAACACAAATATTAGTGCTTCAAAACATATCACAACGATGATTTGAAACACTGATATTTGTGTTAGGCGGAGTCTGGCGAGTAAAGCCATACCACCCATGTACAGGTTTTATAGAGTGTTTTCAAAAGTTACAGAGTCAAATATAAGGCTTACATTTCCTTTTTATCACATTGAAATTTGCCAGACTGGTAATTTTACATTTGAGACCGCATGGTAGCCCAGGAATGAGAATTACCTCCATGATGGCATACCATTTGCAAAAGTTGACAACCCAACGGACTGCAAATGGGGTATGTCCAGTATTTTGTAGTAGCCACTTAAACACTGGCCAAAATTAGTGTTTAAATTAGTTTTTTGCATTTTTTTTAACACACAAATATGAATGCTAACTTTGGCCAGTGTTTGTGACTAAGTGGCTACTAAAAATGGACATACCCCATTTGTAATACCTTGGGTTGTCTACTTTTGCAAATGGTATGCAATCATGGGGTTAATTCTCATTCCTGGGCTACCATTTGGTCTCAAGGGCATCATAACCAGTCTGGCAAATTTCAATGTGTAAAAACTGAAAAATATAATGTGCTATATTTGACACTAACTTTCCAAAACACCATAAAACCTGTACATTGGGGGGTGGGGGGGGACGGTTTTACCCATGAGACATCGCTGAATACAAATATGTGTATTTTATTGCAGTAACAGCTAACAGTATTATGACATTCACAGTTAAAATGCCACGCAAAACAAAAAAAAAAAAAAAACAACATTTCTTAATTTCTCATTTTGTAAAATTATTTTATTCATATTAAATTATGTTTAATACATAAATATTGTATGTGAAATAAAAGCCCCGTTTCTCCTGAACTAAATTATATATAATAAGTGTGGGTGCACTTAGTATGAAAGAGGTGAATAACGCCTGAACAGACATAAAGCGCAAATTCAATGTTTTGTTTTGATCACAAAGTGTACAACTGCCTGAGTTCTTAAGGCAAGGGTCCTCAAACTCCGGGCCCCCAGATGTTGCTGAACTACATTTCCCATGATTCTTTGAATTACATAGATAGCCAGAGAATCATGGGAGCTGTAGTTCAGCAACATCTGGGGGGCCGGAGTTTGAGGACCCTGCCTTAAGGGGTTAATACTAGGCTGTACTCTATTATTATTATTATTTATATATCGCCATTAGATTCCGTAGCGCTGTACAATGGGTGGACTAACAGACATCTGGACGTTTAGGAAGAGATGGGGTGGGGGGCATTGCTCATTGAGCTTACATTCTAGAGGGGGTTATTGTTCCCTATTGTAACAATGCAATGTTTGTGGTCCCAGGACATAATTGAAAGCGATAGAACTCTCAATGTATCCTTCCTGATAAAATATTTTATAACTAAATAAGGTATTATAGCTTTTGTTACTTTTTGCAAATTAAATCAGTTCCACTCATTTGTTTTCCTATTTCAAAGAGCATTTTCTGTGTCTCCACTGAACAATGTTCATTTATTTATCGTCATGTGAATGAGAATATAGAAACATAGAATGTGACGGCAGATACGAACCATTCGGCCCATCTAGTCTGCCCAATTTTCTAAATACTTTCATTAGTCCCTAGTCTTATCTTATAGTTAGGATAGCCTTATGCCTATCCCACGCATGCTTAAACTCCTTTACTCCTTGAATATCCAAGTGGTTGTCAGTGTACAAAAATTTAAATACACATGAACGAGGAATCATTCATGTGTATTACACCCATGTATAGTTATCACCAGAGGAACACTTACAGGGTTATTCACTAAAAGTGAGAATTCAAAGAATAGAGAAAAAGTTAATTTCAAGCTTAAGCCCAAAATAGCCAAACTGTAAGCATATATGACTGGGTGTATTTTTCAGGTTCATCTATTTTTTTAATTTGAAAGGCACTTTGAATATACCCAGACTTCTCACTTTAGTGTATAGCCTTGTTTGTAACGCTGCTATCCTAGATTGTCAACAAGGATCTGACAACCTGCTGATTGAAGAACAGATAACAAAACATTATCAGGAGACCAATAACCAACTGCAAACAAGAGGATGAGTGAACAGCCCAAAGGTCGAATAACCACATGACAATAAGATATTAGGCTGATCACTTCCTTACAAATGATGTTCTATCACTGCTCACCTTCATACTGCATATGGGAGAGACCACTCATCACCACACATACAGACAGCTAAGGCAGTGTGGATAACGCAGTGTGGATAACGCAGTGTGGTTTAAACGGAGCACAGACAGAGTGAGCATGGGGGGGGTATAAGGATGAGGAGTCTAGAGGGGAGTGTGAGTAACATGCACGGTCACTAGAAGCAGGCTGTTCAGTGCAGGCAGCCGTCAGATCTGCCAGACACACGCTGCACACCGCTCGGGTACCTTTACCCATCAGCCCCCGGGGCAGACACACAGCTCCCAGCTATGGGGTATGTCATGCCCACCTGCCGTCACACAGCTTGCCTGGCCACGCACTCCGTGACCTCACACTGCCTGCTGAATGACATCACCAAACAGGACGCTATGCGGTCTCCATGGTAACCCGCTGACGGACAGGTACAGCAGGGTGTGAGGAGCCCCCAGCATGCCCCGCGGCCCGACCACTCCAAGCCGGACCATAACAACACAGCAACCCCGGCCGCAGGCCCTCCTCACCTGCACCTCGCCGCCGCCGCTCCCTCCTGCGCCCAGGCAGCAGCACTCACAGCAGATGGAGCCGGGGGAGGGTCTGTCCGGGTTTCCTTATCATGACACAGGGCGGGGCCTCGCCAGCTCCGAGCTCCTAGGCTGCACACTGACACACTGCGCGATATCGCTGCGGGGCGTCACCGTGCGGCTGCTGTCTGCGAGATACATACTGTGAACAGGCTTCCTAATGGGCGTGGCTATGGGCGGGGCTGAGTGAGCGGTGAGCGCTCTCATGGTCCATTGAGGGGGCGTGGCTGAGTGAGCGGTGAACGCTCTCATGGTCCACTGAGGGGGCGTGGCTATGGGCGGGGCTGAGTGAGCGCTCTCATGGTCCATTGAGGGGGCGGGGCTAAGAGGTGCTGTTGTTGCTAGGGCGGGGTCAGAGGCGGGCTGGGTATCATGTTATGTATCCAGGGACTGACCCACAGGGCTACACTGTGATACTATTTATATATAGCAGGCTGCACTGATACATAGCATGATGGCCTACACAGAGAGCATTGCTGGGTGTTTGGTTGGTTTTTCCCATGGCAGGCTGTTATTATTTCCGAAGTTTATTGAGAAGCAGTGATAAAGCAATCCGTGGGTCAAAAGACACAGTGTGTTCCTGAGTTATATGTGATTATTCTGCTTCCGGACTTGGCTTTGTTAATTGAGCAGATTTCTACAATCTCTGACCTTGGCCTGTTCTCCAATTCTGCGTATTTTCTGCGCTCCTTGACCTCGGCTCATTTTCTGACTCCTCTGCTTTGATTCTATACATTAAAGCGGCATTGTCTTGGACGCCTGTTTGTTTGTTTTTTAACTCATCTTCCGACTTCTCTATGCTTTATTGTTGGTGCCCCCAAATGCCTGCAAGTCCCCCATTTCACAATTTGTTCCTGCACAAGTTCTCCGGATCTAAACAAAGGATCATTCTTTATCCCCTCCCAAATCTTTATCCCCCTCCAATTTCCTTATCCCCTCCCAATCTTTATTTATCCCCCTCCCAATCTTTATGCCCCCCAATCTTTATTTATTCCCCTCCATTTCCTTATCCCCCCCTCCCAATCTTTATTTATCCCCCTCCCAATCTTTATTTATCCCCCCGTTCCCAATTTCTCCCCTCCCCCCCTACCTCTGTTGTAGCGTGGCCGAGCTCTGTATGGTCCGCGGGTACAGGGAGCTTTTGTTTCCTGTACCCGGACCGACTAAAAGGAAGTGCACACTCAGTGTGTACTTCCTGTTAGTCCAGCCGGGTACAAGAGACAGATGCTCCCTATACCCACAGACCATGATACAGGGCTCGGCCACGCTACAGTGAGGGAGTGACAGGAGGGAGTGCTGAGCGCTTCCCTCCTGTCAGCCCCTCTCCTCAGGCTGCGCCCGGGCGGGCAAAGCTGCAGCCGCCTGAGGCTCTCTACAGAGCGCTCGGGCGGCTGCAGCATGAGGGGGGCCGGCGCTCCTGGCGGCGCCCCCTCCCAAGGCACCCCCCACCCTGGTGGCACCTGGGGCGGACCACCCCCTCCGCCTCCCCCTTAGTACGCCACTGCCTAAAGCACAAACACACACGCTGCGTGTGTGTATATATATATATATATATATATATATATATATATATATATATATATATATAGTGTTAAACAGAAATCTGCACACTAGTCAAGCCTTAAGACTTGCTTTTCCCACAGAAATCCCAAATCTGCAGTGATGTTACAACCGCAAAGGATTCTGGGTGGGCACATGCAAATTAGTTTAACAAAGAATCACATTGTTGCCTCATTCCATTTTAAACATGGATTCCTTTTAATCTGTGTTTGCAGTATACAACTTTTTTTTAGAGATGATGAAGATAGGATAAGAATTATTAATAGTGATTTTACTTAAATGATTACCCCAAGCACTATAACCACTAAAGTAGTGGTTATGATGCCAGGTTTACCCTAGCCCAGTTTAGCAATAAGGCTGCATAAATTGGTGGTTAATGAATGGCATACTGCATGAACATTTGCAGAGAACTGACTTTAGCCAGCCCTGGTGACGCACCTCCAGCAGCAAAGAAATTCAATTCTGTAAAACTCAAACTGACATGCTACACATGTAGACTCCAAGCACAATGACCACTTTAAATCACTGATGTGGTCATGGTGCTTGGAGTTACCCTTTAACCTAATAGTCAAGACAGGGCTGCATACCTCTCCCCTCCATCCCTTCTAACCAAAGAAAAACTCTGCCGTTGCTAGAGAAGATGATTTAAGAATAAACCCCCTGTTCAGGGCCTTAGAAATATAATCCTCCATAGCTTTGTTCTTAACCCCTTAAGGACAGAGCTTCAAAAGCTTGTCTTTCATTTAATGACAACAGCATTTTTTTCATTTTTTGCTGTTTGCGTTCAACTGCAATTTGCATTTTACTAATTTGTTGCACCAACACATATTATACATCGTTTTTTAAAGGACAGAAAGGGCTTTAATTTGATGTAACACATATATATATAAATGCTTATTTATTATAAAAAAATACAGAAAAATTTAAAAAAAAGAAAATTTTGTGTTTTTCTTTTACAGTTTTTGCAATAATAATGTGTGCATAATTAGTGCAGGTTAAGAAAAGTAATTAAAAATAAATTCATTTAGTTGTTCTGATTTACAGAATATATAATGTGTCTGGGATTTTAAGTTTTTTTTGGTAGTTACAGGCAGGGCCGCCATCAGGGCATGACAACCACAACGGTTGTCATGGGCCCGGCGGTCCTGGGGGGCCCGGACTGCTAAGGTCGTCCAGGCCCCACATTCAGTGGGTACATATCGGGTCGCAGGGGGCCACAGGGCCAGCCTCTTCTCCTGGGGGGCCCAGCAGCCGGTCACCTCAGGGCCCCCCAGAGGCTGGCCCTGCTGACACCCGGCGGGCGGTCCAGCGCGCGAGGGAGCACTCTCCTCTGAGTGCTTTCTCTTCAGCTCCCTCGCGCACCGTACTGATGCCGGAGCCAGAAGATGATGTCATCTTCCGGCGCCGGCATTAGTACGCGGTGCGCGAGGGAGCTGAAGAGGAAGCACTCAGAGAGTGCTCCCTCGTGCGCCGGCCGGCTGTCAGAAGGAGGGAGGGGAAATTTGAGGGAGGGGGAGGAAATAAATTTAAAGGAGGGGGGGGAAATA